TAAAGCAACTTTCATTAATGATTTTGCTGGTGTATATCATTGGCTTCGAATTAACAGATTTATTAAACTTTCAGTTAGCGTTATTTATTTGAAGCTGTTTAAAATCAGTAAATAATTAAATGCCTTTAAATAAATACAATGAAAAAAAAAATACTAAATATCCTTTCTATAGATCTGGACTGCATATTACACAATCAGATATTAGTAGTAAAATAAAAGACAAACATAATGCTTTTATTAAGCTTGGTTAAAAAATCAATAACTTTAAAATAAAAGTTGCCTATGTGAAAACAAATCGTATCATTGGATTTTTATTAAAATATTTGAATTTTAATTGAGAAATTTAAATATAGATAACATTTATTATGATCATAATAACATTACTGTTCATGTAATGCCATAATAATCATTAGATCCTGATTAGATTCATAAAAATATATAGGCATAATATTATTTATTACAATTAAAAATTCAGTTCATCATCATTTTATTTGTTGTAATTCTTAACGTTTACTATTTCAAGAGTCACATAAAGAATATTGGGAATAACAGGCTGACATTCAGAATCAATAGATGAAAAATAGATGAATACAGTAGATCAATAGAAATAGAAAATCTGAGACTCATAAAACTGACAAATCCAATAAATTTCCAAATACAAGAAATAATTTTTGAAAAAGGATACAGCCCAAGTCAGATGAATTTTAATCAGAATAAGTAAATTTTATTCGTCTATTTCTGCTCTAAATAAGTACAGACAATAAATTTTAAAAGTTTTTTTTTTTATTCTTATTTCTATTATTTTTTATTTACTTTTAAGTATTATGTTAAAAACTTTACATTTAAACTTAATGTTCATTAATGTATTTTTATCCTATATTAGTAAATAGTGATTGCTTCAGTTTATTTTACTAACTAACTTTATTATTTGGATATTATTATCATTCTAATTATATCCAGAAATTGTGAGGTAGCAAGAGAGAATTTTGTATAATTATGCTTAGTTACTTACGTTATTTACTTTCCCATTTTGTTTCAATTATTTTGAGTTTTTGGGATCAAGTTATGTTAAACCTTGACTGCTACCATCTTCACTTTCCAATTTGACTTCATTTGCATAATTTTTGATGATGAGATGTGTATACTGAATGGAATTGCATCTTCCTAATTTAGAGTTTAAATATGGCTAAAATATTTATAAAAATATAAGAATATTACTTAAAACCTTAAATTAGTAGGATGCAATTTCATTCATTATTCAAATAGTGTCATCAAAGATTATGCAAATGAAGCTCTACTATATTGATGTAGCAGTGAAGTTTAACATAACTCAACCCCCAAAACTCAAAATAATGGAAAGAAAATAGAAAATAAATAGAGTAACTAAACATAACTATAAATTAAAAATTCTCTTTTGTTATCAGACAAAGTTATAATAATAAGTAGCATTGACCATATTTATTTTTATTTATTTGTAAGCAGTACACATAAGAATGGTCAATTTTTAATATTTTTGGACTTTATTATACAGGGGGTGCAAAAATAGGTATAAAGTTGTTGTTATGGAAAAAAAAAACATATTGGGAGAAAACGGAAAGAAAAAACATTTATTTTTATGTACAAGTTAAATCAGAAGGAAGTAAGGAATACAAACTAATAAAAGATAATAATAATAATAATAATAATAATAATAATGAACACCAAACATTTGTATTTCTTGGATTCTCAACTGTATACATTCTTTTGCATCACCCCTGTATTTTCACGAGCTTTCAAACATGTAAAACACATTTTGTAGAAAAAGAAAAACTGTAATGAACACAAAAAAAAATTAAAATTTCTCACTGTTCTAATATTTGTATTCTCTGGCCAGGTTTAAATCTAAGAGAAACTTGCATAAGAATGGTCTATTTATATGAGAAATCATAAGTATGAATGATAATTTTCATACAATTTTACATATGAGTAGGATGTTTTTATACAGATTACTTGTATGGATAAATCTGGCTTTAATGTTAATAGTGTTCAACTACTTTCTCACAAAATAAAAAAAAAAATATATGATTTAGGTGAGAAAGACATTACAGCACTTTCTCAATATTTTTTATGACAAAGATATGATAACAGAATGGAAATATATTAATAGACTTTTTTTTTCTAAAAATGGGCTGGTGGAAATTACAATTTAATAAAGTAAAAATTGCATTACAAATACTAGTCATATCTTGCTTGCTTGCCATGTCTAATCACCTGAAACAACCATATTAATAAACTCTCAAATTCTAATGTTAGTAAATACTTTTTTAAATGTAAAAGTTTTTATGAAAAGTTCTCATTTATTGCTAGGCTGACTATATGTACTGTACCATTTTGAGTGGGACATTATTGTTTTTTTACCTCTGTCCTGGCTTCTTTCCATTTTAGTAAAATTTTCATTTTTGTATTATTTTGTCCCATCTAGAGAGCTAAGTTTGAATCTGTTGCCCATAATGGAGACAGAATACATCCCAGGTGAATTTACAACATCTTTCTAAGATTTACAAACAACCAAATTGTGGGAACCAACCAAATTAGCATCTTCTACAAGAGAAACCATCCATATTCTGTTTATTATGCCAAAGTCCTTATTAACAAGAAAAATTTATATGGAGTGTGTTCTATCCTTGCTGAGAGGACCAGGGGCCATCAAAAGTTAGTTTACGTTAGATTAGGGTAGGGTCCTGCCACCAGGTGTGTTTTTTCGGACACACCGCCGATTCAGTCAAAACCCGATAGTTAAGGCGCGAGGGTAAGAGTCACTCTGAAGTCCGGGAATGAGCCTCTCAGGAGGATGAATGCAAAGTCAAATACAAATAAGAGTTTATTACAGGGCTGTGGAGTCGGAGTCGGAGTCGTGGAATTTCGATGTTTTAGCCGGAGTCGGAGTCGGATGGTAAGGAAAAGTCAGAGTTGGAGTCGGTAGATTTTTACGCGACTCCACAGCCCTGGTTTATTATCAAAAATTAAGTTCTGCATAACATTCTTAAAATTTGATTCAAGAAATCTGCCTATTTCTATTTATAAAATGAGGGGGCGGCCTAACAGGGGGTATCCTAACTACAACATACCAGGAGAAAGAGAGCCGTCTTCTCTTCTAAGTCCAGTCAGTCTCCTGATTTAGTTCTTTCTTTCCTTTTGCTTGGTCCTTCACTGATGTCTGCCAATAAATGGCGTTCGCTTCTAGATGAAATTTCCTTGCGATTATGGCGGGATGGGTCCACTCAAGTTTACTGCTGATGTCCACTGTTGATGCCTTCCTTGTATGGGATGGTTCGTTGAGCGACTGGAGAGGCCGGTATTTTCTATCGTTGTCTGCCAAGGAGCTCTGTCTGTGTCTGGATTTGTGCCTCTTTCATACGCTTTTCAGCGCAAGAGAGTTATGATATGGCTTACTATTGTATTGGTTTGACTTTTGAGCCGAGTCATTACAGAAGCAAAACTGTTTTCACTGACAAATCCCATCATTATTCATCAATTGTTTTGGTTACTGTTGTGCCTTGAAACGATGTTTGATCTCCGCTATGATCGGCGGGGGGCATGAAGTGGTGTTTTTCCATTTTCTTTAAGTTTTATTCTCTTACAAATTTATTTAATTATTTAATTGTCCTCTCATCCTTCTCCTCGCATGTTGTGGATTTATTGCCGTTAATTAATATTCTAAATTGTTTCTCTAAATCATTAGGGAAGTCCCTAGAATCAGAAAAATAAGCAAATTTCTGTTACATTTTGCTCCATGTATAATCTCGGTATCTTCAAGATGTGGGTTCAAAAGAAAAAGGATATAAAATAAATACAATATTTAAATACAATAAAATCTCTAACTAATTAATTAAAGTGACAACAAAGTGGCTAAACTAAGATTATTATAGATAATGTAAATACGTAAATAACAAATTCACAAATACATACACACACANAAAAGGATATAAAATAAATACAATATTTAAATACAATAAAATCTCTAACTAATTAATTAAAGTGACAACAAAGTGGCTAAACTAAGATTATTATAGATAATGTAAATACGTAAATAACAAATTCACAAATACATACACACATATATATATAGTAACAACAAATTTTTGGTGGGGGGAAATGGTGGTCTTCACATTGCTCAGTTCAACCCCCTAGCTTTAATCATGGCTGACAACTGTCCCACACCCAGATGACAATCCTGCTCCCAAAAGAACAGGCCTATATTCCAGTGTCTTGTCCATCAGTCTCATAAACATAAAATTGTATTTTTTGGTATGACTTCAAACAGTATTTTAACAACAGTGTTCTTGTTCTAAAATTCTTCACTTCTAGAACATGAATGTGTTTATGTTCTAGAAATCAATAAAGTAAATTTAAAGAGAAAAAAAGAAAAAAGCAAAACTTACATTGCTCTGTAATGAGGAAGTATAAATACTTCACATTTTCAAAGAAGTAAGAGCACTCTTGTACAGTTTTTAAAAAGAATTTTGTATTTTTTTAAATTTAAACTATGCCCCTTAAATCATGGCATTTGTCTCATATTTCAGATCACATATTTTAACAGTGAGAAACAATGTGGTTGACAGGACTGATTCTGATCTACTAGAGATCTACTACTCCAGTCTTTTGATGTATTTTGTTTTTGCAACTTTTTACTACTGTAGATACCTAAAGGCTAAACCATTTTTTTCCTAGTTCTCAACCAATCCTAGATGGTTATTCGATTATGAAATAACGTTTAAATAAGAGTTTGAATATTCTTTAATCTTTGTTGTTGTTATTTTTTCAGGTATTGTTGGGCTCATCTGCTAGTATCACAATAAATGAAAATCAGTAGAAATTGATAAACTTAATATGTCTTAACAAATAAATAATAATTTGTCTAAAGTGAAGTTGCCTACTATTTTTTTTTTTTCATTTATTCAATAGAATTTGATGATAATAAAACATTTCTAGGACTGCAAGTGATTAGATTTATATTCTAGAAATCAGTGAAGCAGAATGCTGGTGTACAAGAAAGAGCTAAGAAAGATCTTGAAGAAAAGCCTGTTTCACAAGAAGAAATTGATTTACTTCAACAGTCAAGGTATTATGTCTTTATTGTGTTCTAAAAGTGGTTTTTATTAGTTTAAAACATTTTAAAATTTTATGATTTAACTCATTTTATAACAGATATCTTGTAACAAAAATGTTTAAGAAAAAATTAATATCTAACTTTTTGTTTCTTCATTGAAAGTTTTGTTGCTTGCAAGATATTTTATGAATTTATTTCTTCCACACTTACTATCTCAGAAATATTTTTGTTTATATATGTAAATATCAACTCACAAACCTGATTTATAGTTAAAACCAAATAAACTGCTGAATTATCGGACTATAATATGGCCATTTAATTAATTAAATACAAAATAGTTTGCCTATAAGCATCATAATTGCTACCCTTAGACAAATTTAGTATTTAATTAATTACATAGACATATTATAGCCAAATAATTTGCCAGTTGTTTGGCTTTTTTTGTTTATATAAGATTTTTAAAAATCTTAATTAAATTTGCAGGAAAGTATCTAAATTAAATTTTTTTTAATTACAAAAATTGATAGAATAACATCTTCTAAATTAATAGGAAAATTATATATGCAAGATAAAACAGCAGTACAGAAAAAAGTTTATATTTCATGAATCAAATAAATAATCAAAAATTAAATAAATAATTTTGTTTTTTATTAATGACAAACAACATTCAATTTTTCAACCTTGCTTAATAAGAATAAATCATATACAGTGGGTGATTGGTTAATGAACATAATCCATTCCAAGACTTTGTTCACCATCCGAATTGTTCGTTAGCCGATTATCGACTTACCATAGGTTTTTATGAGAATTTGATTAATTCATTCTGGAAACTCCAAAAATATATATATATATATATTTTTACTACATTTATTTATATGTAATAGTAAAAATACATATATATGCAGACTTGCATTTTTATTAGTCATGTTTTTTCCGTTTGTGGTGTTAAAGAATCTGTCCAATGTTTATTGCTTTTCTCTTTTCTTCAGGATTTTTCAGAAGTAATTAATAGTACTATAATTGTANGCTCTTGCTGAAAGTGTTAATTTCTGCTTTTTATTATTATTTTTACAATTTTATTTCCACAATTTTGTGAAAATATGTTCATTAAAAAAATTCAATATTTATTTTATATTATATTTATATTATATAATAAAATTGCGGTACAGAACTGCGGCTCCCATGCATTTTGCAAAACCTGCATTTCAGCTCCCACTGAACTCTTGCTTGCCCACCCCTGAATTAATAGCATTGTAATTGTAGAGATCCCCATGCCTATTAACCTCAATCTGGTTTGGATGCCATTCTAAGACCATTATTCTGACATCCTCCGACTTCTTCAAAAGATCTTTAATACCAGATATCAGCATCAATCCTCTTTTTCAGAAGAAAATATATCTCGCAGAGTTTCTTGGTGTTCTTCTGTCCTCAGATCCATTTCAGGTTCCATTACGAGCTCTTCAATGTTCTTTATTTCTCAGATGTGATTATTGTTACTCCTTTAGCTACTTGAGTCTTCTTGATTATACAGTATCTTTCTTAGATAAGATTAAACTGTGGTCTACTGTAGACCTGTTCAAACAATACTGCCCAGCAACATCAGACATCTGCCCACTTTCTACCTTTGCTATTATACTCTCATCTTTTGAAAATAAAAACCGATGCAAAACTTAACAAGTGCCTGCCCGATAGTCTTGCAATTACTACGAAAAAATTGTTTCTGTCAGAAAAATAAAAGGCTGGAATTACAAGGGAGAGTTTCAAAGTTTGGCAGAATACTATTCGATCAGTATATACCGGGTTGAGCATCGATGTCGACATCTCCCGCATTCCGAAAAGTTTCGAATTGTTGCCTGAAAACAAGGGAAAACCAATCAGTATTCATTATTTTATGTCACTGCTTCTTGTGTTTGTTCTGTGAGGTGTTCGTTATCCGAACATAAAAATCTTTTGCAAAAGTGTTTGTAGTCCGAACTGTTCATTAACCAATCATCCATTGTATAGTAAAATCTGTAGTTAGTGGACAGTATCTGATATCAGCATAGAATAGGACTATTAATGTACTGGTACACTTAAATTAATTAAATAGACAGTATGGACATCACCTTTTATGGATAATGGATGAAAATTTCCTAGCCATTCTCCAAAGTCTTTGTTAAACAGACAATACAATGGATTACATGCTTGCTATGAATATCAGTTTAAAAACATCATGCTTATCTTTGGCGCTATCATTATATGAGCTGGCGTTGCCCAATTATAACTCAGACTGCATTTCTTAACTAAATACACTCAAACAAACCTTTACATATGCAGCCGTAATCTATACTAATATTATAAAGAGGTTATGTATGTATGTATGTAAGTTTCTTTGCAGCAGGTAATCTCCGAAACTACTCATCCGATTTCAAAAATTCTTTCACCAATATTTAGAATGGAACCTCAGGGTGGACATAGGCTGTATATTATTCCATTAAACATTCATATAAATTAAAATATATAACCTAGGTTAAGGCTTTTATGTCCAACAGATGGCTCTACGAGTATGACGCCCTAAGTTTGCTTTTCTGTGAGGCATTATGCTTTTCTGTGAAAATGAACTAAAGCAGATCATCTTCTATCTATCTATATAAATAAAAATGTAATGTTCGTTTGTTC